GTAAATCTCCACAACCCATTTCTCCGTTGTTCTTTCCACTTCTCTGTTATCATTTAAACTACACTGATCAAGTACGGTCGTGCTTGCACTATATACTGCTCTCAACAGAACAATGGGAGGGCTTGTCAGTTGGCGACTTAGGGCATCGTTTATTAGCAGAAGCACCTATATTTGTACTAACCATTGATAAACGCTTGTATTGAAACCGCACTATGTTGGATGTGCAAAGCATTTGTGTTTTTGAGAAATTACTAACAAAGTTATTTATTAACAATTCGTTACTAGTACTCGCTCTCCCGTCTGAATCGGGTATCACTAACGTTAAGTTTCGTGTTTAAGTTTTGGCCCTATAATAGCAATCGAACTGTTTGATAACAGAAAATATGTCAGCGCGTGGTTTGCAAAAGGCGCTTTCGTATGCTGTGTACTACTGCCACCGAACAGTATCAGCTTTATCTTGGCATATCTGTCGCAGGCAAAACAACTTAACTAGAGCCTCAGATGCCTACCTACAGCTTATAAAGGTTAATGTAAATTCTGATTTCTGTTGTAAAGGAAACGATCCTATATCGTCATCGGGGTATTCTATAATTTCACGACGAAAAATGGGTCTGTCTTTTCTTTAACGCTTTCGTTGTTGGCTTGTATACATTGCTCGAACAACTGTTTGTCTCTAAGGAACGTTTTAGCAAAACAGAAAGTGTGTTTGAAGCCGTTCGCCTTGGTTCGTCTTGGTTCAGTGTTTGCAAGTGACAAACCTCGGCTATCATTTGCACGCGTAGATGATGTCCACCCTTCTACAAGAACCGAGATCTTCTGTAGAGATGTCATAACACTGTTCCAGTTGCGCTGCATCAGTCGCCGAATCCACTGCTTAGAAAGAGAGAAACAAATACACATACACATTTGGCATGACTGTTTACAAAACTATTTACGGTTGTGTAAAATAGGGTGCCATTGCTTAAATAATTTGAATCAAAACGCTAAAAACAGCCTGTGGCAACGGGCGTTTGTCGGGGTTGTTGGAGTTAAAATATTTCGAATAGGGTAAGATAACAGAACTTCAAAGGAGAAAAAGCATTCGTCTAGTTGAAAATAGCTGTTTGTTTCTGTCAATTTAGTTGGTCTAGCTTTCGCCAGACTTATCTTCCTTGATCATTCGCACTTCGTATTGGCATATATAAAGACAAATAAGTGAAACATTACAAAATACTGGCCTTCCGCGACAAGTCTGGTGTCTACTGGGCCGCGGTAACCACGCATTAACCAACGGTCCCATTTTAAACTTACAGGGCTAGCCCATTATGTATATACAAATGTCACAAATGCGGGAACCTCAGTGTAATATACAAACAGGTTTATGTCATGAAATTAGCCATAGTGTGTATGATACAGTTTGATGCCTGCCTCCATTTTCACAATTTATTCCGTATATGAAACTATGTCATCTTTATAACCAAATTATTCAATTTATGATCCAAGGCTAGCCTACCTGTGTCCTACCTAGATGCGTCAGTCAAACACTGAGATACCGTCAGTAGGTATTTTGTTGTGATTCCTAAACTGATTTCAGTCCTTAGCTATTTATAGGTGACTCATCAATCTGCCACTAAAGACAGCAAATAATGCCTTTTACATCTAGCCATCCTAATTTGATAGACAGGTCACCCAAAAAGATACATTTGCTGACTCATGCTGATCATATGGAAGTATGAGATACGAAACGTGAGCAATTTTACAAGTTCAAGCTGGGCCGGACAGGTAAGCGACTCTAAAGGATTACTGCTTCACGCAAATTGTAATTTGCATCGCAGTAATAACACGCAGTGCTGACTATGGAGAGGAGAATAAACTTCAGGGGGAGAAAAACAGCCCTCCGAGGATATGCAATATTTGACGCATATGGATATAAATGACGAGAGTAGCATACAACAAGGAACCGTCATTAATTTTTCGACGACCTAAAACAGGTGTGCATCGATCGTACGAGTCTCTTTCAGAAAATACCTCACGTTCCAAGGGCACGGTTGTGAATTGGTCCTTTTTTATTTTTCATTGAAAATGTTTTGCCAGAAATAGATTTTCAAGCAGGCATTGCGTCGAAGAAATTGCGTTGTTGGACGTCATTATGAAACGTTAAGAGTTATTTTGACACTGAACGACAACAAACGGAATTGTCTATTCAGATGATTGACAAAACAAATCGAATGTTTACACGGGAGTTTTTCTACAGCGATATAGTTATCAAACGTCGTACACACACAAGTATTATGCATTGCGTACTGTCGGCGTAATAAATTTGGAAATTACGACGACGAATGAGTAAGCCGTTAATCAGCATTTTAAGGAACCTCGCATCACAGTGTCGTTCAGCGGTCGGAGCGTCTCATTTAGAAAAATATAAAAACAAGTAATAAACAGAACAGATTTTTTGCTATTTTTATGAAGTTATCACTAGCTCTGTCATTCGGATGGCTATAATATAATTTTGCGTAAAGAACAGATATGGATTTGCCACTGGGTTGACAAAGAATTTCTCGATCAAGTGCGCACAATACTGGATAGCTGAGTAAATTGGACGAAGTATTTAGCTTCGATAGGGTGGTTGTAGTTACAGTTTACTAAGTTAAATATGACCAGCCTAAGTGAAATAGGTCAAGTCCTTCTTAGACCGCACTTTCGATCGTTGACAACAAGACACGGACTCACTTTGGATGCCGGTAACCTTGGCAATAGCTGACCACATCAAGCATTATCTTATTATTATAATTTTGACATTGTTTCTATGTTTTGAGAGTGTATGTGTGTGTGGGTGTGTGTGTGTGTGTGTGCCTGCGCCCAAACGCCTGGGTCGTTCTTGATTGCCGAAGATAGTTCAGAGATAAGCATTCGTTTTTGTGTCAGATAATGGAAAATTAGACGAAATCATCAGGCAGGGATTTTAAAAAAAAGAGGGAATAAAAAAATTGGCATTTATAGTTGACACTACTCTTAATAATAGCAATCATTAATAATAAAATAATAATTAAAGTAAAATGTGCATAGTATAGACCTTTAGAGGAACCATCAAGAGTGATCTGGTGCTCTTGTTCTTCACTGAGTTTCTATCAACTTGAACGATTGTGGTGTCAATTTTATAGATAGGGAAACGACTTTTGCATGTAAAAATGGCTTGAATGTCATTGTATTTAGCATTTTAACGTTAAAAATAACTAACTTGCCTTTACGCAATGGTAAATTTACCTCTTGCCTTGACTCTAATACCTCGCACTACCGCAATGTTTTTCTTTAGACTTTAAAGCAAATTCAGACGAAAACGAGCTACCGGCTTTAAGGAGCCCTCAGCTACTTTTTCACTCTAGATTGGGACTTCTACGTCGGTTCCTAGTGGTGCCTCTGTCATGTCAACATGATATGTATCTAACAATAGAACAGCATAGCTACAGTATGCTTAGAGCTCAATACGGCCCTCGTATAGGGTACATCAGAACTAACGACGTCCGGTCATGACCAACTTGCGAAAATCTTCTGAGTGGCAACTAAAGGGAACATAAGTGCCATATAATCACAATCTTTGAATGGTTTTCGAGATTCATACAAGCAGTATATGAATATGATTAGCTATTTAGACTTCCTATGGTTCGGGTGTTATGTCCCGTATCGCCGTTAAGCATTGCATCGGACGGTTGGCTTTTAGCACAAAATGAACCGTGTGTCTGTCTATGCCCGGGTTTGAACCTAGATCACAGATCATATGTATCCATACTACGTCGTTCGTTTCGCCAAACAAAGAGTTTTCGAAATGAATAGCGACGTCATTATTTCAACAATTGGTACATCTTTGAGCCACTCTGAAATCATGATAGCTTCACTTGTGAAGATTTTATTTGAAGTCAATAGGGCGGCCGTCTGATGAATAAATAGAGAAGCTCGGGAACACCATATTTTATACTCTATATATCACAATACTTCTACATTCCTTAGTAGCAAATGTGTGTATTGCACACACAATTTATTACCTTTCTGAGTAAGGCATATAGGTAGTCTGACAAAAGTGAACCATTAAATGCCTGAATACGGCTTAGCGTACTGTGCACGGTGAAGCTCGTACAAGAAGTAGAACGGTAACTAACTGACCCATTACACAATGAGCTAGCCATTTTGAAGAACGTCGCCGTATTAATACTAGAAGAGGAGCGGGTCCCGCCGAAAAGGATAAATAAATAATGTTGCGACTGAATAACGTCGTTGTCCTTAGGTAGGCCATAAGCCATTGACTCTGCGTCACCGTATGCATTAATTTAATGAACAGTGCATGATAGAGTATTCTCTAGTTTGTCCTTGACGTGAGGAGTGTTCCATCTTGGCCGTATGCATGATTGGAATACCGCAACATATGGTAGTTTCTTTCCGCGTTATCATAGAGGAACCGTTGTTAACGTTAGTCGACCATGGCTAACTTAATGGTTCCGACGAGCACGTAAAATCTGTCGGCCAATTTCCGTAACAGATCACGTGGTAATCGAACTACACGACCCATGGTTAAACAAAACGATAATTTAACGCCATTAAACGGATATAATTTGAAACATTCGTATTAAATTTGCCACCGCTGAAACAGTTTGAGCCGATGCAGAAATACTTCTGTTATACTCGCTATAATAAAGAATCCACGTCCGTTCTCGTATTCCAGTACAAAAATTAACGAGCATTCAGGCCGTCGTTTGCACAGTAAAACGATATTCTGTTCGATCGCCTTATCGATTCATTACGGCCCTAATGTACCACAAGGTCACATGTATTGACTGCTCGCCTTGGTCACTAGGACGCGGTGACTATGGACGCGATCCAGATGACCTTTCTAAAGGAGTGGCTTCGAATAGCAGTACTCGCCCACTAAACTCTCGCCTGTTTCAACTTAATGCCGACAGAATCGTTACTGCGGGTTGATTCGTTGTTAAAGACCTACGTAAGTGCAGACCTAAGCACTTGCTGTTGTTTTGTACAATAATGGCTGGCTATATCTGACGATGATAGCACGGTATTCTTTAAGTGTGTTCGTGAATTGTTTCACCCATTTTTATTGCGTTGTATCAACCTACGTCACATGAAAAACACCAATACAACGTGAGAAATTTCCGAAATAAATATTGCCCACCATACACAATTTCGTCAGCGAAAAGGTTTCCATTGACTGTGAGGTAAACACGGTGGACTGTTGACAAGGCGTCGTTGCCTAATGCCTATTACTGCACCTTTGGCCATTTAATGCATACACGGTTAAATACAATTTTGTGCAGCATAAGGCGAAATGGATGGTTGATCAGATAAAATCTCGTTCCCATTGTGAACATGTTGCAAGAGTAGATAATTCCACGAACAACTTCTGCCACCAGCGGATGACAATCGCTGGACACGACGCAATTAACAATGAGTAAACGCTTTTACTCCCATAACAGCTAGCGAATAGTTGGTAAGTTAAATTGCCTCGACACCTAGTTTTGTCCTTGTATTTTGTAGGTCACGTCCTCCCTTTTGCCCCTGTCTGCACACGCGAATTGCCTATTCTGCTTTTAAAACACTCCTACTACAGTTTAACTATTGTATCAATGTCAATAAGGTATAACTTAAATCGATTTGAACTGGTAATGGACAATCTACTCTCTATCTTCTGCAATCAGGCTTTTTTTACCTCGTCCGTCTAAAGCTCCATTACGTGTATGGAATTAGTGTGATCGTAGAGATCGGTCGAACGGATTATCAACTGAATCATCCAGATGTACTCGGTATTGTTCATCCCGGTTTCGATCAAACCTTTCCATCAAATGTTGTGAAGCATTCAATAGGTTCCTAGGTTCAAGCAGAAATCATACCCCGTCAAATATCTTATGAAATTCTCAAAAGTGCACTTCCGTTGCTGTACAGCCGGATATGCCGACGCCTGATCTAATGACTGCTATATGTAAAATTGATCAATGTAAATGTTAGGCTACAAGCATTTTCTTTCTATACATTAAACTCTAAATACTCTATACTTTTCCTTTGAGCTCCGATAGCGCCCTTAGCGCTGATGGTTTTAGCAGATGGCTCGGGTTCTACAAACGTTACAGAGGAAGTTAGGCAACGAGGAATGACTGGAACCAATTCTGAAATCGCACTTCAACTTAGCTGTTGTTTCATTCATACATTGTTTCAATGAACGGTCATGAACCTCTTCGCAGATATTTATAGCGCAGTTAAAAAGAAATAATAGAAAACATACAATACGTACTAACTACTTAAAAACATCCATATACTGGCAAAGAAGTCAACTCCTTACCGTTTTCCACCTTTTCAAGAGACAACTAATTAAATCAATTCTCAGGCCCTTAATTAATGAAATAGGCATCACTGGAACGGGGACAAGATCTAAAAACTATAGTCACAATATTAATGATTAACTGTAAATTTTAATATGCAAGAACGGTATAATGGCAATACAGTAGCTATCATCAATAATAGGATAGCACATATCAAAGGCATATCATCTGTCTGCAGGCACATCAGTGTGGCCTGCGTCAGATTACTTGATTACCTATGATCTTATTACTTTTGAGCCGTCGCTATCTGCAACACAAGCATATAGTGATCGGTTTGCCAGCCCTCCAAGATATAGAATTTGTATTCATATTGATCTTATTTCTGGTCTTCCTTCCAGCAGATGTAAGCCTACTCACTCTAATAAACAAATATGAAAAAAAAAACACTCTAGCACCCGTCGTCATGCTGCCTGATCAGTTCTCTGATCTTCATAAAGCTGAACTGGTGATCCCTCGAAGAGACGAACAATAATAACTTTGCTTGTTTTTCTAAAAAAAAATATATTTCTTTATGCACCCAGATAATCACTGCCATTTCGCTTGGACGGCCATCTACCATGAAAGGTATCAGTCACGAGAATCGACAACATTCTTAGCACTGCGCTTATAAACAAATAGTCGATCGAGCCAAACTGCGAATCCCTCCATTAAGGTAAGGGAAATAAACACATCTAAGACTGCCCTCAGAACCGTTTTTCTGATAATGAGGTACACTTGCAAACTTCTCTTGCTTTAATCCTTTCAGTCAACGATATTCACTATTCTCTAAAACTTCCCACATTATTATCTTTTCCCAGATTGTACACCGAATGCTGTAGTCAGCTGTATGGACACTACTGAAGTTTTTCTTCGCCTCACATCGATTGCAAGGGATATACAGGTTCTCATTGATACTCACTGCCACATGACGACCAGCCTGTCGCTCTATAAGAAGAAGCGGAGTAATCTTCGCACGGCATCAATGTTCAAATCAGCCGCCTACTACTACATACAAGGCGGTGCATTGGGCGGGACATGTTCACATTTATTACTTCCACTAGACTGTTCACAGCTTACGTCTGTGATATTAGCTATGATCGGGTCCGACGACCGATTCTTACGATGGCATCGGAGCATTTTTTCGTTATTACAGCCAGCGTTATTGTGACTTTGGTAGAGCTAAACTGAGAATACGCTGGTCCTGGTCGCATCGCATCGCGTCGCTGCTTCCTTCCTGCGGAGAATTTTCATTGCATCGATATCATCACTATTACGATCATACGGGATAAGTGGCCACACGTTGGCTGCTGCCGTCTATCCGTCGCTCAAGCGACAGGTGAAAGCCGACAAGAAGCGAAAAAAAGTTTGTTTTTTTAAGCCTTACGTTTTCGGCGACGCAGACGGTACCGCTGTCGATGAACTAGTTGGCCACAGCAGCATTTGAAGATAAGAACTCACTTGTGCGTTCACACGAACAGCTTTTTGAACAGATTATAGTCAATTCAGATGATTCAGAAGTACTTTCTGAAGATTGAGACGTAGGACTTATGCAGCATCTATAAATACCTTGAGGACAAGTGCTCCTCATGATCCTGGCAACTATACCGACATTGGGAAAGAAGATAGTGACTACTAGGTAGTGATCGTGGAATACCTTTTTACATAACCCGGCTTGACTTTAACGTTTCGTAACGGCAGGACAAGAATCATTTGTATTTCTACGTGTGAATGCGCTCTGAAACAGGTCCAGTGAATGATACGTTGTATCATTTTTCGTGGCATTTAATGCCGCTCGTATGCAGTACATCGTAATGTAAACGATCGGCTATACAGGTACTTTATTCATTGACTAGACTGATACTTTGATTTGCATCTGTTATTGGAAATTATTCATGTGTAGTAAACATAACTCGGTTTTCTTTATAGACTTAATAAATATATTTCGGCCAAGAATGTGCCTAAAAATTATAAAAATTATTAAATTACTACAAATTATAAAAAACAACTCAGATGCACTGCAGTATTGGTATTGCCTATAATGCACAAAATGATTTATGTGACTAGGCATAAACGATTTCGTAGCAGAAGATTGTAACGTTGAAAATAAGTACCTAAAGCGAACATTTGCTATCTATTTACCATTAGGCAACAACTTACCACGTTCCCATTAACGAGATTCTGAATGGATGATCGTTTTCGTAATATTTATGGACGGTTTTTTTTTTAATTCCAACTACCGCTATATATATATACCGATTTAGTGGTCGTACTAAATTGACCTACTCAAAATTCTTGAAGTTCGAGTGCCCGGAAGTCACTGCATATGAAGCGCCCGGGTGCTCATCCTGAAGATTGTGCCGAATAATTTATTTGCGCTCCATTGAGACTTGAAGAATATAAGAGAGGTCCAAGACTTGCGACAATACTGAAGTGTTCAATCGAATATCGGGAAATGCGGTTATTATAAGGGCTGGTAAGACCCATTTGTGAACGCTATAGTAATTGCAGCGTGCCTTCCTTCGTCATATATACGATAACTTGTAACTGGTAATTAAATATCGGATTGATCCACTGCAGTTATTTAGCCTATTGGTCAGTCTCGACAGTCCATATATTAGTTATTATGCTCTAATGATTAGGCAAGCTTATTAATTTTTTCTATTTTCTAGTTATTTCTCGATATTTTTAGTTAAAGTACTAGTCTCCGGCCCAGCTCCTAAAGCTTCTCACTTGTTAGAAACTATTTTTCGGCTTACAAAATGTCAGTGAACAGACCATTTTTTCACCGTCGAAGAGTTACAACGTCATCTATCTATTTTTCGGTATGTGTTGGCGACACATAACGAAGGCTTCTACAACCATTAAGGAAAGACACTTAAAGCATTAACAAGATTAACTACCATTAAGCTATCTCTAACTCAGTACTTGTTAACTATATTTTAGCGAAAAATGTTACGAAGAAGGAAATCACCGAAATTCAGGCGGGTACTATTTCTGACGAAGAGCTATGCGCTCGTAATCTCACCGCTACGCCTAGGCCAGGAACACGTCGACTTCTTACAGCTGCAACCAGCCCTTTAAGGTGCCCAATTACGTTACTACCACAGCCACGATAAAGAAGCCAGACCGCTCAGCGTATGAGAAATATTACGTCTGTGAGAACTAGCGGCAACGGAACGGTTAGATCCCCGTTCTATTACCAATTGTACTGACTTCGTAGTGTAAGCCTACTATTGGAATTGCCTAATATGACCAATGTATAATTCATAAACGTGGCCTAGATGCTTTTCGGAAAAGGACTGAATCAATTAAAGTATCAGACTCTGTGAAGCTTTATTCCTAGCTATAAGTTTACCAAGTGTAATTATTAATAGAGCTGAAATTAATAAAACAAAATATTAGCTTTATTGTAAACTTATGTTAATATTATATGATTAAATGGTACCCTCGTATTTTTTCTTGGAAGTTTTTTGAGTAGGATATCACCGGCTCCTTGCAAAGCATATTCACTTACGCTATATTGCTATTCCAAAGGTATAAAACACGGCTATTGCTGTTATCGATTTAGTGTGACATTCTTATTCGACTATACCATCGACGCCATGTTTGCGAACACTTCCATCAACTGGGATCCTCTAACTTCTTTTAAAGTTTGTCTATATATCGGTCTCGTGTGTGTAAAAGTTTTTTGCTATATGCGTTTGTCTAGACGATCTCTTCGGGTTCATATGCGTGCCGATGGCCGTCTTGTTTCGCTTAAAGAAACATCGTGTTGCCTCAGATAATTTTATAGCATCACTTTGTTATTAAAATATTTCAACTTAGTTCTAATAGAAACGCTGCTGTAAGCAAAAAATTGGCGTTGCCATCAGTAACTTTCAAACTTAAACGCACATGTTACAGATTTCCCAGTCGAACAGGTTCATCCTCATTTTATAGCAGTGACACAAGAATGCAGTGGGGCATGATGAGTTAAGTTGTACTTGGTTGCTCTCCGTCTTTGGAAAGTTCAGGAACTTGAATACCTTCGATACGTTCAAAATGTTCGAATACTGCATTTCCTTTTCCTAAATTAGGTAGCGTTCGTTATTACCATTCGAATCTGGCTCCTTTATTTCGTTTGAAAGATATATAACGTTTTTTTTGTTTTGCTTTTTCCATGTAACGCTATCTACCGAAGTAAAGTAACATAATCGTGATTAAATAATAGTAATTAATATTTATTTAGATTTGTTTTTGTGAGAGTTTTGCAAATCTCATGATGAGCCGATATTCGACGTTGTTTTAGGGCTCACAAGGTGAATAAGTCAAAAAAAACTTAAAACAAAACCTCGAGGTAGATTCTTCCGAAATTTGCTCCAACCTATGAAATGAACCAAAACAGGCTCATCGAAGCGTTGTAAAACTCAAATTAGGCGGAGCTCGTTGAGGAGTGTCACGTATTAATAGTAAGTATTTGAAGTTACCATCTAGTCATATAATTACTAACTAGTTAAATGAGCAATTTTAGCAAAAATCGTAAACGTGTGGTGAGCGATGAGTATTAAGAGCTCTAATTACGAAACCAAACTAACATGAAATGTTAGATTTATCTAACAACAATGATTGTCATTATTATTATCCAGATGCAAGCAGTTAGCTTCAAAGAGTATGTGGCGCCTATCATTGGTGCTATTGAATCTAAAAAATCACCTATCAGTATCATTTTGAGCAAGTTTGAATGTGATCTTCCTGAGACCCCTATTTTTAGCTTAGTCGTGAGATCACTATTTAGTTGAATCTTTATTCAACTAAATAGTGATCATGGCTAGACTACAAAAGACCTTATCATTGTCTATAGATTTTGAGACCGAATTCATATTCCTTTTCGAATAAATCGATATGATATTGCCTGTTTACGAGTCGCCTAAAGGCAAAAAATGTCGAACCTTTGCTACCCTTTCCCAAAAAAAGTTAGACTTTAGAAGATGCAATATGGCGGACATCGGTTAAGCCAGCGAACGCATGCTTGACTCGAGATTCGGTTATTCTTTCATCATACACTTGGCTGTACATCGCTAATGGTAAGTGAATCTGATCCACAGATAAGCCCGACGAGCGTTCAACATCCGTGAGTTCCGCCTGAGAATCTCAGTGCGTATCTTTTTAATCCGACTCTAAGTTAGAAGATTAGATATATTGAATAGATTTTTCACAAAAGGGTAACATATATACATGTAGTACTGTAAATTATAGTTTTGGAAGAAAATAGTCCGCGTAGTTTCAGTCTCTGGGGCGCTTCCCCTCCAGCGGAAGTAAGGGAAGGTAGATCTATACGAGCTATTTCGAATTTTCAGCGAAGAAACGCTAACCTCAATACTATCAAACTTCCAAAAAACTACTTTTTAGATGTACGTAAGTTTGAAACTTAGTACATGATATTTCATTGTTTCTTTTCGCATTTGTTTCGCCTTGTGTTTCTACCACAGTCTTGCTTGTCTCAAAGCTACGTTCCCAAAGGTGAATTAAGAGCAAGTTCTGTGTTATGAAAGTTATTATGTTGAATAATATCACATAATATTCTAAGTGCTATATGGACCGCCGCATTTTGAGCATATATGAAACCGCACGCGCTCGGTGCGGTGATTCAACTGATTATGTGGCTTCAGAGTAGAACTCAGCTTTGCAAAAGATCGTAGATATGTACGAATTCATACTAAGGGGTCGTAGTTTCCCATTTGTTGTACAACATGTCATTGGTGCCCCACCGTGCTACATTTGATAGCATTGAACATATTTTTTTTTAGAAAAATATTACTGGCGGAACGCATCGCTCGGTCGGCATGTGCATTACGTCGCGAATTATTAGAATTTACCTTAAATGAAGTGAGCTTGAGGAATACACATACGATAATACAGTATCAATATACAATAATAATAATAATACAATAATATCGAATAACACGATAATCACAGCCCCTTATGGAAAAAACTTACCTATAATATTAGGTACGTTTTGATCTATGTAAGCCACACCCTTTTCTAAATAGTACCAAAGCTAGCTAATTGATTTAACTAGGAAATTCTCGAAATAGGATAGAAATGCTTTTTGTGTGTTATATATGTATAAAAGCATTTTAGAGCACCATCATCCTACTTTACGAAATGAAAGTGTATATCATATTATAATATTATAATTGTGTATTATTGAAAGACCGACTACGATATTATGTATCAAATCCACTCGAGGACTACGGATGGAACTGTGCCAGCTTTCTAATTCACGTCAACATGGACATCCTCTCGATTCGATCCGCTTGAGTCAAAAAGGTTGCAGTTAATTGTGAAAAACACCTTTAACTCTTCAGCTTTTTCTAGATTTAGAAGAAATTCAACAGCCTTGGAATTGAAGCTTCCTACTACGTTTATACCTTAAAGTGTTCAAGAGGCTTCGGTTTGCCATGTACTTAATGAGGTATGATGTATGATTCTGTTTGTAGCCTTCTTCCGATGCGCTTCTGATTACTGCCACCCGAAAACCTGCCACCTTTCTTTGACACTGTAATTGAAAAGGAAATGGTCCGATACGAAGACGATCCTTTATTGCCTTGTAACGTGACAAGCAGACAGACAACTGACAGTTAGCGGATTACTTGATTTATAAACTATTCCTGGCTGGAAATAATAAGTGAGGATTTCGAACGTGATTGATCCATTTTAATTTTGATTGGATATGTTTTAATTATTAATAATTAATATAATAATTAAAATAATAATTAATGAACATATGAACGTGGTAGTAAATTACCGGCCCATTTTCAACAAAAAACTAATTGAAATTTGACAAGAACGAAAATTATGACGAATACTATTAGGCACTGCGTGCCGTCATTAGAAAAGAACTTGGAAACAGCTATCGCTTGAAATGAAGTGGTAGACATATAAATTCGATCTTTTCTTCGGTCGCTGCAGATCTTATTGTAAATCTATCATCATTCCTTGCTTGAGCATAACGAATATTGCACAAAACGCAGCTAGATCTCCTGATTGACATAACTATTATATACACATAGCTAAAGGATTCTTTTATGTATAAGTTTAGTAAAAGACTTAAAAGAGACTGTTACTTCCGGACCTTGATTACTTTTGAGCATTTATAGCTTGAATAAACGAACGATACCGATGTATGCTAAACTATTTTGAGCAGAAATCTAAAAATACCTCCATATGGCACATACTTGCAAATTAAAGTTTAAAGTTGTAAATAATATTGAAAGGAGATTTAGCGAAAAAGTCGACTTACATAGACAAAAAAATAATCGGATTTATAACGATAAAGGCAGCATTTCGCAATCAGACAGCTTTCGTTGCTCTGCTTATTGCCATAGAGATTGACCCAGGTAAAAAACATATATATCTGTCTAAATACTTAAAACTTGGTTAATTTGCCTTTATATCCTTTAATTGAAGTATTCAGAAAGTGGTCGAACTCAATCTAAAAAGGCAAAATAATTTCATGAAAGAAATGTTGTGAAATGAGGCAGCAAGATGTTTCCATTATTCAAAACTAAATGCTGAAGTTGAAAACTGAGTGTTGTCTATTTGCCCTGTCCACTTAGGACAATAAACAGGCTTTTGTATTTCACACAAGGTACATAAGTAAATGACAAATCCTGGGGCTTGAACCGGAGTTTTTACATAATGACGGTAATGTGAATAAACATACTTTGCAATGCCCTGCAGAGGAAAGGCTCGCGTGCTTCTAATGGTAACATAAACTAATTTAATTCCATAAATGACAGATCCATAAGTGCACGAACGCATACTGTTGAATATGCTCCTTAGACCCGTATTTCCGAACAGCTCAGATTTTTATTAACAGATAATTAAGTTATCCCATTGGTCTACACCGATTTACGTCATTCAAACGTTATAGCCAAATGTTTTTGTAGTATTCTACTCACTAACCTGAGGCGTCAGCGAAAGTGTCTCTTTCATATTTTTACTGGATGGCCTGTGATTTGCAGCAGGTGCGAGACGGCCCCTAT